CCCCTCCCTCGCCCTGCTGGCCACGCGGCTTTGGGGGCAGCCCAAGACATGGCTGGCCTTCTGGGCTGCGAGCGCACATTGCCAGGTCGCGTTGAGCTTCTCATCAACCAACATCCAGCTTATATATGCAGGATAATGCTGAAATATTTTAGCAAATTAAGTCAATCTGCAAGCCATTCTTTTACTTTAAGGCTGACAGCAATAAAACGCAGGTACAGCCAGAATCACAGAATGGTTTGGGTTCGAAAGGACCTTTAAAGATCCGTCTAGTCTAACCCCTCTGCCATGAGCAGGAATAGAAGGTGGCACGTAGTTAACATAAGTTATTCTATCTTACAACATAGTTAAAATCGCAGAGGGATTACAGGCAGGTGGAATTTACACCTTGTGTAAATATGGAAATACGGACAAAACACAGGATTAACAATAGTCCTCAATAACAACACCGTATTTGTGCAAACAACTGGCAGTTTAAATACAAGTCTTAAGATTGCTCAAAAAGGGATCAAATGCGAGAGGTGCACAGGCGTTCCTATCCTGTCATCTCCGGGCAGAAGAAAATGGCTCAAAAGCCACGCACAGGAAGGACACCCAGGGCAGGATTCAAGCACCTAAGCAGACATGTATGGAGGGTTAAAGATGCCATGGTGCCCTTCCTGACCTCCAGAAAGTTACAGGTCTCCCAAAGTTCTGCATTGTATCTACACGGGGTGCCTCCAAAATGGCAAAATACGTTTAGGTAACTGAATTGAGACTTACTGCTCCAACACCCATCCTAAAGCTTTCTTGAACGGGGGACCTAGCAGGCCAAGCACAGCCCAAATTAGAGCGATCAGAACAGACAGCAGCATAAGGAAATATGCCAAAGCTCCAAGAAAAGAAAAAAAAAAAAAGAGGCTTGAAAAGGAGCTTGTAAACGTGTGTCAGTCTGCTCTTTTCTGCATAAGAGGAATGAAACAAGTACGTACTGTTCAAATAAGTCATAGTATCCTGAGCTTAGAGACATGATAGAACAAGTTCTAAGTAATCTCTCAAATAGAGTTAGGCCCTTTCACAATATTCCCTCCTAAAGTTTGATTATATTTTGATCTACAAAAGGAATTTAGAAGATTTCAACTTATAAAGGATCACGAATTTCAGTAGTATCCACCTGGTACCAGGAGATCCTCCTTGACCGCCTAATACAAAGCTGGATATAGTAAACTCTTTAAAAGGACACAATAGGTGTTGCCACAAAGTATGGGATTACCATATCAATAGCAGCCTTCAAAACCCCAAGCATTTCAAAGGATGCCAATGAGATGCAAAATCTTGCATTTAATATTTAAGTGTCTATACAGAACACCAGTAGAAGAAAAAAACAAAGAAAGAGAAATGAGAAAAGTTAAAGTTATAAAGGGATAAATGCTTCAAACCAATATTGCTTTTTTTTTCCTTTCATATTGAAAAGCTTCCTCTAAAATCCTGCACGGTCTCACTAATTCAATTACAGAATGATTAAAATGCAGAGCCCACTTCAAGCTACCTGCTGTAGTGAAAAGGGAACAGGCCAGCCATTATAGTCAAAATCCACACTGTTGACTACCAGGAGGAAGACAATCTGGAAATTCATTGTAATCTTTTAGTTGATTACTATTCGTTACTCCCCTGTGTTAGCCTTGGTTTGGGAGGGGGTTGTGTATGTTAGGAGAGGGGGACATGGTGTTTTTTGGAGGATTTTCAAGTGCTAGACTAATCACTCCTCCTGACTTCAGGGATGCCGTAACATTTTCTACTGGGATTAACCAATTTCAGTGTAACCAAGGGGACAGAACCAGGCCCCATGTGCTTCAATTACCAGCCATAAGCACAGGCCCTATTGATTTCAGCTCCATCCTGGAGAGGGCAGTAGGACAAAACCTCTCCCGATGCTTCCAGAAGAAAGCATCTCAAACAGCCATCACCCTTAAAAACAAAGAGAATATCCTAGCTCAAGTGAATTAGTATGCTGAGCTGGAAGCAGACCATCTGAATTCATGTTCCCAATTATGCTCAGCATCCCTGAATGAGACCAGCTGTGCCCCAGAATGATGACAGAAAAGATATCAATACAATTTCTTCAGCCTTCAGTCTGCTTTCTCTGGTTTGGCTACAGACTCAAGGGGAGGGATTATACTTACTTACTTTGATACACTTACTATGTGTCACACTTAAAACAAGACAACATGCTTCCCAGGGATATTTAGACGTACCACAGTTAGAAAACAAAACAGAGACAGTAGAGCTATTGGAGTTTGAGGACCCACCCTGAGCTGTGAAATTGCTGCTCTGCCTTCCTCACTTTCTTCATCTAGTTCATCATCACTCCATTCCCAGCCACCATCTTCAGTCTTATGAAGACGTCCGCTGGAACCTGGGACTCTCCGGACCTGCTCAGCACAGAGAACTGATATGTCAAGCAGAGAGTTTCCACAGTTGATCTTTCTTCGGAGAAATAGCACAAGAGCATCTGCAGCTTGTACTGTCTGCCAGTGCACTTAAGTATTTTATTGAAGTGTCTAGCACTGTACCTAGAAAACACCGTGCTACAATAATGCTCATTAAAAATGTTAACACAAGCATAAAAAAAAGTACAACTGTAACAGCAAGAGCTCAGGAGGTTTTCAGTACCTTTTTGGATCTTTCAGTGATTGTTGGTGCTCTCTGCAACATCTTCTCTTGTAAAAATTCTTTATTCTGCAAAACAAAAAATACAAAACATTTGCATTGCTGAAAATCCCCGTTGATTCCTTCAGTGTCTCTGATAAAGAAACTGTTAAGCTATTTCTAGCAGAAAGCATTTTAGATGTTTTATCCCCATTCCCCCACAAGTATTTCACCACTTTCTTCCTCTGGACTAAAGTATATGATGTTTCATCCCAAATACCTTTTAAGTTCACTGTTGCACTTCCCCTATGTAAAGTGATAGGGAATTAACAACCGAGGAGTTGTATACTATTCTGTCTGATTTACTGGGGAACATGCTTTTATACTTATTATATCGCAGCACCTGATACCCTGCCGAGACATTTGGCATTCTTCCATTCGCAGATACTACAGCACCTGGATCCAGCCCCTTGGCTATATCTTGCCCCTAAATTTATGCCTGTCCAACTGTCGAAGGCAAACCCCAGATGTCAGGCAGGCTGGGATGCAGGAACCTCTATATTCTGGAGTAATGAGACCCAGGAATTAGGGCAACTGGAGTTAGAGTAGATGAAAAAAAAAAAATGTACAGCACATGATGTTTAGACAGCAAGTAAGTATGGTGATCACAACACACTAAATACCGAGAAACTGCTGTGATGCTTTACTGCATTAAAATTTCCTCTTCAGCAAGCTGCTCCAGACCGGCTAGCATGAAGGATCCTGAGCGTACAATTTTCCAAGCGCTTGACTGCAGAGCCAAGCTGCTGGCTGGCTGCAGGGGAAGCAGGGCAGGCAAGCACCCTGGCATTAGCACTGGGATCTGGCTGGGTACTTCACACCACACGAGTGAGGACGGATAGCCCTGCCATCTCTGCCCCTGCAGTGCTCCCCAAACTCCCCCATGATGGTTTCTTGCACCTAGGACGGACAGCCTCAAGACACACGCTGTCACTTCCTAGTAAGTGGCTCTCAACATTATCAAAACACACTTTTACATAACATAGAATGTATTTATATATATGGTTCAATATAGACGCACAGAAGTTGGACTCTTCTGTCCTCAAGTTACACCTGTCAGTTTGGCAGTGGCTGATGTATGAACATAATTTAACACCGAGTGTTAACTGGCACACATTTTCACTTTGGGTGCCGGTTTAAGTATTGCCTCACTTCCAATAATGTTAATTTTCTATCACCACATATGCTAATATGTTACTCTGCAGAAGCTTAATGAAAGCATGAAGGAGATTTTACACACAATGAAGTATAACATAAACCAGAACTCGCATAACCGAACGGAGAAAGGTCAGCAATGTGTAAACTATCTTGTCACTTTGGACACCAAGTGTGTATCCAGTATACAGATGCAGACTATTCAGTTGCCTAAAATCCCATCATGGACAACTAAAACCTAGTTAATACTGTGAAGAGCCCAGACATCAATTAAACTTGCCCCAAAGCGAACGCATACATTTCATAAACTGGATCACTCTCTAGACTTCCTTGGTTGCACTTGTTAGATTTCTCTCAACTTTAATAGGGCATCCAGCTCCTGCACAAATACCTAGATGTGGCCATTTCCATTTAAGCATCTTAATCTAGGAGCTGAAAACTACTTTGATTAATTGGTGATGCTGCTGTGCTGTCCCATGTATCATATCTTTTTGACAGTTTAATCTGTGTTCTGCTATAAAACCCATGTATTTTGATCACAGACATGCCACAGAAAAAATAAGCAAACAGAAAACATTTCCTCATTCCCACAGACGTATAAATTCTCCCTTGTATTATTTCTGCCTGTATCCCTCAAGCAGACCTTCCATGTTGCATATGCACTGTTCTCCTGGCAGTAATTACATAAATGCTCACCAGCAAGTTCACTTCAAGGCTAGAAATGGGAATTTCCTACCATTTTGTATCACAGGGTCTTCACTTTCCATACGGAAACACAGGATGAAAGAGTTTTAGGGCCTTCCGCACAATGGACCTCATTCACTGATTTGCATACAGACTGATTATAGAGTTTACGAAAATGTAAGTTACATTTACTGCCACAGAGACCTTTACGGTTGGATACGCAGCCAGAATGGCACCATTACAAGAGAAGAAAAAACCCCAAAGCCACTGAGAGACATTTAAATGCTCATGAATTTCTAGACAATTTCTCTTAATAGCAGCATACACAAGGAGGTACAGAAGAGGGTTTTCATTCTGTTCGTTCACAATGACCCATTCAACTCACTCAGCTATGCTGGCCCTAAGTGAAGCAGCCCACACTCGTGCCAATAAAGCTGTCACCACACCTATCATACTTCTGAAAAGTCTTCTCCACAGCCTCTGCACGGATCAGTTTAGGAAGTGTTTTCTTACCTTTGCTTTTGTGAAAAATTTGTGTCTTAACAGTTCTGCTGCTGTCGGTCTGTCAACAAAAACAGATGTAGAAAAGACAATTATAAATGCTCCCTTTCGACACAACGGTTGCTGCAGCTTGTGGTAACATGGCATCTCATAAGGGCATCGGCTTCTCCTGCACAGTTCCCCTAAAAATCAGTCAATGTACTTCAAGTACATTTTACACCAGCAGTCTTTTAAACACTCAGTGTATTCTGATGAAAGCCTGTTGTGTTCAAAAGCAGTGAATAACTTGGGGGTCAGGAGGAGAGAAGTTGCTCCAATTTTGACCTGAGTCTCGGAGATTTCAAAATTGGAATTATCATCACCTACAGCAGGAGTGCAGTACTCACCATGTGCAGTGACAGAGCTATTTCAGAGACAGAACTAATTACACACATGTAATCAGTTCTATTAAACACAAAATGATCAACATTTTTCCAGTTGAAAAGGAACAAGTACAAACTATTTTCTGCTTTAAGTTAGACTTTAGAATAAATACTGGAAAGTAAAAGCCATCCCCTGATCAGTTTAGAAGGAGCTTTCTAAAGACTCGGGGCTACATGAGAAAGTACCAGCTTACAGCATTTACCACACTGCAAACTGTGCTTAAATAGCGACAGAGTTTAATTAGTGACTTCCAAAGGCCGTTCAACACGGGGTTTATTTCACCTCAGACTACTGTAACAAAAATTATTCACCTATAGCAAGGAAGCCCCAAAAATAAAGAAAAAGCAATTGCACTGAATTCTCCTCTTTGAGAAGCCATACAATATGCACAAGCACATCTGATTCTGCTAGCTGCCCTATACGGGCCAGCCTCCTGCTCCCATCGTCAGGATGACGACAGTGGCGGTTAGCGGTGCTTGAGCAGAGAGAAGGGGTGTGCCAGGACTCAAAGTGGTTATGTTTAATTCTGATCAGCACACGTTCTAACCTGCAGAGATAGGATATGCTTTAGAAAGGAGAAAAAACCATCATGCTGGGGAAAAAAACCCTGCTATCAGCATTTATCAAGCACTCCACTGGACTCATTAAGCATTTCAAGTGTCAAGCTTGTTAGAAGAGAGATCCCATCTCACAATGCATGAGAAGCCTTTGTTCCTGGACCTGTCACAAGAGGGAACTGAAAAATGTCTTCATTATTATTATTTTATGAAGGCACTTTTTCCTTTCCAGAATTAGTTTGCTTACTGAGAAAAAAAAAGAAAACTAAGAGGTAGAAAAACCAATCTGTGGGAATGTTTGTTTCTTCACTTTTGCATTTGTAAGGAATGCTATTTTGAATGCAGGATGAACACTCCTTTAAACAGCATCACAGACTGGAAAATGCTATGACTGTCCTCCACAGAAATACATCCGAGCTATCCTATGGGACAGGCTGTGGGTTTTAAAAGTGCCGTAGACAGCCAGACCCTCGTGCAGCTTTGAAGATGCCATAACATAACGATACCACGCCATGCTGGGAGCCACAACATATGCACCACCCCCTTGGCAGCATTTCTAACATCACTGAGTAATCAAGCTACTGTTACAAGGAAGACTAAAAGTGTCATCGGGTCACTTGAGCAATCTGTATTGACAAAAACACGTTGGTAAAATTTGCCAGTGTTTTTCCTGATTGTCCCTCCCCCAGCCAAATATTACTTGTAATTAAGCAAGTCAAAACTACACTGAAAGCCTTCTTTGCACTGGCAAATTTTTTAAAAAGTTTATTTACGAAGCTTTGCAAGTAAACACATATTGCCCAACAGGTAATTTCTGATTTATAAACACAGAGCAGTTTTCACTGGGAACAAAACATGAACTGCAGTCACCTGCTGGAGGTGGCAAGGGGGAGAACAGCACGACACACACAGTGGACTGGGATGCACTCTCATTAACTCAAATGGAAGATACGTGCCCTGGCCAGGCACAATGCCAGACATTGATCCTTAAAAATAAGGACAGCCAAGAGAATTTGCTGCCACACAGCAAGACTGCTGTGTTCATTGTGACTGAAAGGCTGGAGGGGCAGAGAGCATACCAGCTTTAAAAAAATATGGAATACAATGAGTTTTGTGGGTTTGTTTAGGAGTTTTTAAAATTTATTTTGGTATTACTCGTTCTTACCTTTTTTCAGGGTCTTTTTGTAGGCACGATGAAATCATCTTCCTAAATGATTTCCCATACTTCTTCAGCATCTCCTTATCTTGCACACCAGTTTCCAAAGATGGAGGATCATTTTGTAGCGTCAGCATTAAAACCTGAAAGAATTATGTCTATCGGCAACGAGGTTTTTCTTGGCTGTTGTTAGAGACAGATCTCGGGAACACTGTATTTTAGAGAAGCATTTTCATCAGGCATCTGAGTCAACAAGGACTGTTTCATTACAACAGCTCCCTGAGGGTAGCCTGAGCTGAGAGTGAAGTTTCCTACAATATAGACTGTCTCCTCGCATTCACCAGACAGCAAAAACTCACCTACCTTTTCCTCAAGGCAATTACAGGGTTCTCTCCCTTTCCCTCTGCTTCCCACAGTCACTAACTTGATAGAAACAGTTATTTTCAAAACCTTTACACCTCTGCAAATTCTGTCAGCTGAGAGGTTCAAGACTCATAGAACAAGATCTAGAGCGAGCGACCCCCACCTCATTTCCTTGGGAAGCCAGGGTGATTTATACCCAATTTATGCTACTGTTTTCCATCACATCTCCTGGCCCACAGTGCAGTCTGAGGGCCAAACACAAGGTTGGGATGTGCTTTCAGGGCTCTTTGGTGTGATTAAAGGCATAAGCATAGCAGCTTCCTCATTTAAGATGAGCAGTTGTGTAAGGCATTTAATTCAAAAGGCTCTGTTTAGATCTCCCTGCAGGTATTTCTTAGCTAGAAATCAAATTAATGCAAAAGCAGAATGGCAACATAAATAAGAGGATTCAATTCCATGTACCAATGCAACAGCAGGTGAAGACATTTCTCACACAAGCACCCATCAAGCCAAACTGATTATTTCTTTCACATCACTCAGATATTCTGAAGGAAAGGAAGAAAATTGCTCATTTCCATTTTCACTTGTCACCTACACACAGATGCGTCTATTTTTAGAAAAGGAAGCAGCACATAGCACATTTGAATAGCTTTCAACAGCTATATTGCTTAGGGCAGCAAGAGCCCATCAGTCTAGCTGAGGTTATACAGTCCATGACAGAATTCCCTGCTTTTTTCCCCCGCTCTCCTCAGAGGGTCACTTAATACATGGGTCATTTTGCTGCATAACAAAATTAATCTGCAGTGAAATACAATTACACTAAAAAATAAAACACAGAAGTCCTCTTGCAGGCTGCATGACTAGAACTCATACCTAATAGAATTGGGGAGTCATAATTCTACCTACCATATGACAACAGACAATATTGAATGGGCGATCTTTGTATTCAAAGCTACAACCCATGCATTCAAAACACAATAAGCAGAAATACCGCTTGCAGAAGTGACTGCAAAATGCTACCAATAATCACAACACAGAAGGAAGTATCAATGAAAACAGCAACCTAAAATCAGCAACACATTTCCCTCAACTCCTCGCTGCTCTGCCGCAGCCACTGATAGGGTACAAACTTGATAGGGTACTGATAGGGTACAAATGGCATTTCTAAACCACTTGGCTACTCAACAGTCCCTGTGCAGGGATGACACAAATCTTAAAATTTAATTCTGCTCTACAGGAGTTAAATCAGTGCAGAGTCCTGGCACTTAAAACGATACATGGATTTGCCTATTCTAATGAGTTTGGAGCTACTAGATTCCCAAATGCTATTGTAATTGCAGGGTGGGAGTGGATGCACCCAGGTCCTAAAGAGGTGACAGCCAACTTGCATGGCACTCCACCAGATAAAAGGGTCAGAAAAGGAAAGCTCGCCCCATGGTATACATAAAATTGAGGGACTTGGCACCCATAGGCCTCATATCCCATGTAACTAGTCTAACCGCAAACTATGGAGTTAGTGAAAGGGCTCTCCACCCCCTCCTGTTTGATCTGAGGGAGCATGCATCACAGGAGTAAACGCAAAGTGGCCTTCAGAGAGAGGGTGGGCCAAAAAGGCTCAAAGTTTCATGACTGAGACAGGGCCCCATCAGAGCTCACAAAGGGACTAAGGAAGATGATCTCAAAGCCCAGCAGAATGGCAGGATGCTTCAGACCTCAACTGTTGGGGTCAACGCTGTTAACTTTAAAATGTAGACTCCCTGAAAGAGCAGCATGTTGGAAGTAGCTCCTGGTTTAAGAGTCAGGCAATAGGGAAAGTTAGCCAAACTATAAGGTGATCTCAAGTTGAAGATATTTTAAAAAGATTTTTGAAGTGTCAGTGTTTAAACAAGAACATTTCCTCTATCTCAATAAAATATTAATGCTGCCGATACCACAGAATTTCATACTGATGTGGTATTTTCCACTGGTTCAGTGACTGACAACACTGTGTTGGTGTTAAACAAGGTAAGACACTCTTCTGGATAACTGGTAACAGGATTTCTAAGAAGTATCAAGACAGATTAGCAGTGCAGGAGAAGAAATGGCTTGCCATCTTAATGTCACTGGATGCCAGATAACGTATTCTGAATATTATTTATAGCCCTAAACACATCTGCTGCCTTCAAAGGCTCCAGGATTAAAACACAGAGCACTTTCCTCAAGAATGGTGACCCTGGGAGACTCAGAGTCTAAATAAGAACTGTGCAGTTTCAGACAATGCTGATTAAGTGACATATTTTTAAACGGTGACTTCAGAGAAATCCAAGAACATCATGATCCATAAGTGTAAGCTGAGAGGACAAAACTCTTCAATGAAGCATGCTGGCCAAATTCTCGGAAGCACCCACAGAACACACTGACCCTTTGCACAAGTATCTGGAGCCCTGCTCACCTTCATCGGCGGGTATTTATGGTAAGGAGCTGCCCCTGTAGCCAGTTCAATCGCAGTGATCCCAAAGCTCCAGATGTCTGCCTTGAAATCGTATCCTCTGACCTGAAAAAATATTAGAGGATGTTAGCATGTGCCTCCTGCTATCCTACATTACAAACCCTTTCTTTGGCTTATGATACGTCCTTTCACCCTTTCCTTCCTTTCCCCCTCGCACTTGGAAAGACCAGCACTATAGTGTTAAAGAGATGGAAAGAACACTTTCCTCCCTCCTCTCCTCCCATCTCCTTATACCTTTGAGGAGGTGTTTTAGAAGTCATAGTCTGATGAAAATTATGGTTGTGGACTGTGCAACTAGGACTGCTCTGCCATAAACCCCTCCATGTGTAGAACATAAAAGGACACTAAGTTAACCCAGGCTCCGACTTCTACACAAAGAGACAGAGTCATTAAACAGTATAATGAAACTCTCATAGTTAATAGATGGACTGTTATCCCCTTGGGACATATGCCTCACTACACTTTTAGTCAACCGCTTAATCAATCTGACTGCAAACATGCTCAATCCTGAAACTTCAGTACATACCAGCTCGGTTAAAAGCCCCTCGTTCCTGTCTGCAGACTAATATTTCCCTCCACTAATTAACAGTAGCTTCTGCACTTGACATTAAACACAGACTTGTTCACGAAAATTTATAGCATTTACTTCCCCTCGTGCACAGGAAAAAATACTTCATATGCCAAAGCAGTTACTTCCTCATTATCATTAGGTAATATTTTGGCACTTGCTTTCTCTACTGCAGGGGAGAGACATTATGTACTAACTTCAAGAGCAGCTACAAAAAAATCAAAGCATTTTGGCTGCTTAGAATGGTTTGTATTTCTTCTCACTAGACTATGGAAAAATGAATATTGAATGAGAGCAAAGCTAATAGGGATATTGTGTTCAGCCAACCTAACAAGCTTTAGAAAGACACTCCTTGTGTTAAAACAAAAACATACCCCAAACTACCTTTAAGATGATCTTGAATTTTGGCAAACAAACAAAAAACCCTCTTGCAGTATTTTTCACATAATACTACAATTCAACTGAAATTTATTATAGCAACAGGATTTTATACCTTGCACTAATTTCTTCAACTCTGTAGGCATCATTTTCATGAGCCTTAAAGATCTGAAAGGTTTCTTGAAGTGCCTCTGTTTATGGATGCCATGATTATGAAGAGATTAAGTCATTTAATTAAACAAGCACAGATACCTAGTATAATTTAAAAGAACACAGTGCAAGAAGAAATATGCTATAGGGTGGGGGGTTTTTTTCCCCCTTGCACTATTTTTAGGTTTTGAGAATAACTTTGGGACATTTCTTAGCTTTATCTCTCAGTTGGTCTTGCAGCACACCTATGCATTGTAGAACTCCCCATTCCCCAGCAGGATTTGAACTGTTTAGTGGTTTTTTTGTTTGTTTTGGTTTTTAAATTATATCCTATAATCCTGCTTGCAAACGAAAGCTATGAAGTTCAAAACTGTCTACAGCAGTTCATCTTGACATCTGTCCAATACATGCTAGTCACCTACCCTGCAGTTAGTTGATATCAACAACATTTATTTTTCTCATCAACTTTTTTTTTCCCCATAAATCTGTCAAGTGAATGTACATTAAAGAGACAATGTCAGGCTATCATGTATCAACATGCTAAAGGAACTTAATGATGCTGAAGTAAACCAGATAGAATTGGGTTGATAATATCTACATATCGAAGGCTAACCTACAGCAACCCCTTCGTCCTTTTTCCCGGGTTGGATATAGCGGCTCAGAGTGACACCTGCTGGAAGACAGCAAGATGATATAAATGGACATTGAAGGATTTCACAGCAGCACCCAAAATACCTCCCTACCATCTAAGATTTGGAACAAACTGGATGTGCACAGCCCTCAGGGAAGTATTGCACTCCCTCAAATATCTGCCTCCTTCGGAAACGTACCTGTTGCATCAAGACACCACCACCCACGCCTCCCGCCCACCGCTTTTGTCACTAAACCTTCATTTCCCCTTTTTTGCACCCTCCTTAAGATCTTTTTTTCCCTGTTGTCCTGCAGATCACAGCCACCCCAAGCGCAATGAGCCTGGAGCAGCACTGTTAGGTCCTGCTGTGCCCTGTGCGCCCGGAGAGGACACAAAGGACAGAAAAGCAAGAGACAACTCTGCTCTGGTTTTCGAAACACTGAATACTCTACTTATTTTGAAATCAACGTGATAAAAAAAATCCAGAAGTATGTGGCGGTGAAGCAGTTCAGAAGCAAGTTTGCAAAGATGGCTCCTGACTTAGGGAGTGTCTCGTACTCTCCGGTATTAGACTTGTACTCAGAGGAGGTTGCAGGAGTGCTGTAATGCACCGGCCCCTCGGTGCCACCACGGGGAGCCACCGAAAAGGCCAAACAGTGAAAAAGCCTTTCATCAACAGCATATACAAGCTACTCCAAAATTATCTCAATCCCTCAAGAAGTTTCAGATATAGGAAAAAATGCATTAAAGTTCTACCACTGTTTTAAATGCATTTCATTTTAGAAATATATATATATGGGGGGAGTCTTAAAATTCCTCCTAAGCTTCAAAATATTTTATTGTGAAGAGCAAGGAGAAAAGTAACAAGGTGGGTTTACTTTAATAAAACAATGTTTTCCCAAAATATTTTCGTTTAAACGATTTTTGGAAGGAAAAAAACAAAAGCCAAAATATATTCACAGTTAGTTGTATTTCTGCTTGGCACACCTGTCAAAAATCAAACCTCAAGTCCAGCCCTCTGTCACACTGTTTTTAAGGGGATGAGGGATAATTTTCAGAATGCTTATGGCACTGAGCATAAATGCAATAGCTACTGCAAATGCCCTGTCACGACTGTGGCATAATTTTGTGGACCTTGCTCAGAAATGGGGAACAGTATTTTACATTAAACAAAGTTTCCAGGTGGCCTTGGTCAGAAGTCATACGGACAAAGTTTCTACAGCTTAGTCTAGAAGTAGCGGAAGACAGAGTGACATATCTCTGCTCAGCGAAAGTAGTATGACATCTTTTAGCTAGCCAAAAGAGCAGAGGAGGAAGGGGGAGAGGCAAGCATTCCTCAGCATTTACAGCCTGGATACTCACAAGACAAGAGAAACTAAAAACCTGAATGAAGTCAACTGCATGTTATTTTACTGTAATAACTCCCCACTCCGACACGTTGCAATTAGCTACCCCAAATTCTCATACTTGCAAATGCAGAAGAGCATGTTACCAGGCTACATATGTGCATATTTACCATGTGTGAAACTATTTATAGTCTACCTCCTATGTAGGCAAAAGGGAGGGGCAAGTTAATCTTCTTTATGCAACAGCTGAGAGCTGTCTCATCCTCACCTTAGATAGGAGCCTGAAGAGAAGAAACAGGGCAAAAATCTACCGGACACTTAATATTCCTTAGTAGTAGCCTGGCTGCAATAGACAAATCTAAGAAACTCCCGTGGTTTTAAGAAAACCTTACAGGATGCCAAATTACAATCTTAGTTTGAAGTAAATATGGCCATTACTGACAACAGGGAATTCCAGGTGCAGATCAGCTAAGAGGACACTAGGAAAAAAAATTCACCTGTTCCATAACTTCTGGTGCCATCCAGCAAGGTGTGCCCACAAAGGTTTTCCTGACTTTATTTCTGGTAATGTCACCACCAGTGGCCAGAAATGCGCTAACACCGAAGTCTGAAAAGAAAAGAAAACCAGATTTTATTAAGAACACATTCCCAGCAAAGTGAAGGGTTGTCCCCTCTCTCCCCTCCTATTCCCAGCCATCTATTAAGTACTGGACCATACAGTTACGCATGAGGAGTTTCCTAATAAACAAAGAATGATCAACAGTTAGCGAAGAGTGCTGGTACAGGAACGGTCTGTAGTCCACCATTCAATTACTGGGGACAGCAGGGCTTTCAGCGCTGGCCGGCAGAGAGGAAAATTCCACTTTCCATTACGGCCCACTGGTCACGTTACAGCACGCCCGCGCTCCCCCAGCAGACCTGCTACTGTACAAACCTGCCTCCGACAGCCAGTGCTTTATTTACATTTGTATACATACATAACAAGTGATAACTGAACTTCAGTGAGCATCCTATTAATATTTGCAGCAATGAAGTCAGGTACACAAAAAGTGACTAGACTTTCTAACATTTAACTGCCCTTAACTGCATCCTGCAGCTGGAGGTATCAGCCCCTTACTCTGGATGTTTTATTACCAGAATATACTGTGCTTGATAACCTTCCGTCGTCGAGAGGCTCAGTGCTTTAACAGGAACTTGGACCGGTTCCCAACGGCACAGCAGCGTTATGGGATCAAGCAGCACGTGCTGCTACCAGCCCGACCATCCCCGAGGACGCCTTGCAGGCAGGTATTCACAGACAGCGTCACCCTCACTTGAAACATCTGCCACAAGCTGAAGGATGCTCAAGGATGCATCCTGCACTCGCTGGTAATCGTATTGCTTGAAATAAATCATTCTTCTAGAGGGAAACTATGCTTTCAAAGGTAACGCTCATGTTTTATGCAACCAAGAAGGACATGGAAAAACAGGATCTGTGAATTGGAGTGTGCAGGGACAGCAATGGGGTACGGTATGTTTGTTCAGAGAACAGTATTACAAAGGATTTGGCAACTAAGTCAGTCAAGAGAGGATGGCAGACTTTCCTTGGAGAAAAAAATAAAATGTATCAGGTGACAGGGAAACTGTAAACACAAAACTGCGTAAGTATTTCTTCCTAATTAGCAAACTACACTGCTTACATATTGCAGAATTATAGAACTGCAATGGGTCATCCTCCATAAGTCAATTTTATCCACACACATACACCCCTTTTTTTAAATACAAGTAAATTAAAGTACAAGCAAACAAAATCTTGAATGCCATTTTTTGAGATTGATGACAGGCTCAGAGGACAAGTCTCTGAAATTCAAGGGTTATTTCACATAAAGAGAACATTACTGCCCAAAACTGGTTTGAAAATTCTTGAAACTCAGCTGACATAGTTAACTGTAAATGCAAAAGTCTTACTCAGAGGAGCCACAGAGTTACTCCATGGCTTAGGGATATTATCCTAAGTGAGGAATCAACTGCAGGAAAAGATCCTTCTTTACAATTTGCAAGCAACGGCATCCACATGAGGACAGTGCCAAGCTTCCCTCTGCATCACGCCAGCAGCGCAATGAGCCTCTTCTCACCAGTCTTTCAATATTTGAGAAACACCACTGAAATTATCACTCAGAAGAATAAGATGCTGAAAGCTTCCAGCTCACTTAAGTTAGAGGCTTCCAAGGACAGCAACTTAGTGCTCACTAAAATACTGGACAGGGATAACTGAAAGTTGACATTAAAGAAAGTTGCATAGAAATCACAGGGTTAAAATGAGCACTAGGAAATGCCTATCATTAGGGTTCAGCTTCTTCCAGATGCATTGTCTTGCTTTCTTCCCTGTTCCCAGAGGCACCTTGTCTTCCTGCTAACCTTGAAGTTTTAGCACATCTAGATGGACCACTATCCCCGTCTGCACTGCAATCTGTATTTTTCTGGTAACCCACTTTTTGCAACAGCGATTTTGCTTTGAGATCTTCTATTTGTGCCTCCACCACCCTTGCTTTTCTCAGAAAACTGAACGAGCTTCCTAAATCGTTCTGAGTAAAATTACTTGCAATTTACTGCTCATTACGGGAAGTCTCACAAGATCCATTGTTCTAAACACAAGAGCAATTAGAAGTTCCTTTAAATAAGATAGTACTAATAGAAACTTGTCCAAGTGCCATCAGCATAGTATTGTGATGTGCTGTATTTGAATTTGTGTATATTATCTTACCTCAAGTTTCCATGCAGTCATTTTGAGGGTAAAGGAAATGCCATTCAAAGCAAAAGCATTCCAGCAATAAAAACACAAGTCCTTTACACAGCACACACAACGTTCACCACATTTCACATCAAACGTGGGTTTATAAATTCCAGTTGGAAACTGTGCCCCTACATCTGCCATCTGAAGTCAGCAGAAAGCTTAAATGGAATTAAATTGTATTGTGTTACGTGGTTGATTTATTCAATGTTTTCCCAATCAATTTCCCTCATTTCCAGTGGGCTAAAACAGGCACAACCAGCCTGTGATACTCTGCTGTAAGGAATGACTTTGAAGCAGTTTTCTCAAATGTCATCTTACTAACTTTATCCAAGTCCCAGCTATTAAGATAAGAATGTGCCTGCTCTCAGGAAATATCTGTAAAGCACCAAAATAAAATCCTAACCACAAGTTAGGGTTCAATTCTTACTTCTGAGCAGTTGGTACGATCTGCATCTCATTCTCTCTGCCACTGTTAACTACCCTCAGAAAGGCTAAACAGAACTAGGCTATTACAAATGAATTTAACTCTAGAAAATGGGGAAAGTCGTGAAATTCAAGAGGTATGATAGTTCAGAAGTGTTCACATTTGTAGTCTTCTTTGGCAGCTTGTACTTTATATTGGCTCACTACGGTGACAACTGGAAAGGACTGCATCGCCAGAAACAGGCAGGAATTAGCAGTGTTTGGACCTGGCTTGCAATACCAGTAACCACCACTGCTGGGAATCCGACGACTGTCAAATATTCTAAAGGAGCCCAAAAATTGCAGACTTCTAGCAGTCTGCTAGCAAGTAACAGTCTCCAGGATGTCTGGATGCAAGCGGTAGGCTCATTTTTTTTATCATCAGTTTTCTGAAGCAGGATAGAAAAGATTCATCTGCTGGACCTGTCTCTGCGATATAAACCAAAGACTCCTTTTAAAAAAAACAAAAATCTCCAGACTCTCATACCACAACAAAACCAATCCAGAATGGAAATGACAATTCTTCTGGTGCAGGCTCTGCGAAAAATATGGCCAATTTCATCATTTTCAGTAGCGACATCATGTGTTGCAAACCACATACCCTTCAAAACACTCTACAGTGGCAACGAAGTTGCAGACTGGTGTTTGAAAAAACATGGTATTAAGCAACAATTCCTGCTATTAAGGTATCCAAGCTGTCAAACTTGAAGACTATTCTGGCCACTCAGGAAATGCAAAAGCTGAAAGGAAAATCTCCTCTTACTATTCTGTGTTGCAGAAACAAAGACCCAGTCTAAACAACTCACCAACTCAAGAACGCTGTGGCAGGACCACATCACAACGGGCACCGTTGCTGCTGTGTATGTCAAAAAGGTACGTTCCTACAGTATCATAAATTAGATTGTTTTATACAAATCTAGAAGTCAGCTGTTAAAAATCACCTCTCCGTCGTCATCTCATATTGTAACATTACCTCAATCCTAAAAAGCCTAAGTACCTGCTACTGGAGGTAGGTAGGTACAAGGGAAAGACGACCGTGCACTAACTAGGAGCCAGGACCAGAAACTACTGACATCAGAGGGGGTCCCACATAGTTTGGTGGGTTTGGATCAGACCCTAAAGCAGCTCCCAACTTCAGTGGGGGCAGAACAACAGAATAAACCAATCTTGACTTCAAAACACTCGGAGTTGTTTTTAAACTTGGGTAGCCAGGATATTATCCCTCCTCAAGCAAAAATAAAAGTATTTCAGAAGACAGCACAAAGTGTTTTTTTCACTAGTCATCTTCCTCCTTGTTCAGCTGTTCACCATCAGAAAATACCTGCAGTTGTGCTTAGTGTTTTTCTGCAAACCTTAGAGCTTTTAGAGCACTGAAGATGAATAAAGCCTGGCAGGAAGACAAGGCAGGCAGTGGTAAAGAGCAATTTTGTGCTGAGAACACAGCGGGGTGGTAAGACACCAGAGAAAAGGAAAATTAGTGAAGAACAAGAATCAAAAACTTCCTTCCTTTTAAAGACTACATGATTATATAGTGGTGTTGGATCGATTAATACATGCTCACTCTCCCAAATTCTCATTTGGAAATGTAGAACTCTACAGTCACATATATTCCTAATCAATTCACATGCAGAACGGCAGCTTTATTGCCTCACCAGTCAAGCCTTTTTGCAGTAACATCAATGCACATAAAAGATGTACGAAATCCCTTTGCCAAGAAGACACGCTAACAGTGCACAAAGTAACTTAAGGATGACAAAGCCCAGGCTGGGTGAAGCCACCGCCCTCGGAGAAGTCCGCGAGTGCTTTCAACAGCCAAATAGCGCAACATCTCTTCAAGGAAACGCAGATATTGCAAGTGACACAAAGAGTAAGTTACCTCACATCATGCTGCTGCAGGAGAGCCACCAAAACTCTCCACCAACCACACAGAAAAACCAGGTTTGCCCTTTTTCGAAAGGGGGGAGAGGCTCAGAGGTGTCTGAGCTGTCGGGGTCAGCCCTGCAATCTGCTCTCCTCTCCCCAGTTAGATTTGTGCCTTGCCCCTTGTTAAAGCAATTTTATCTCCCAAAGTTAGAGTTTCCTACGGGAAAGTGGGAGAATGACACTGCCTGCATCATAGCTCGATGTTTATGTAGAGCGCTATTTTAGTACAATGAATTAAGAGCAGTCAGGAACACAGCGAGCCGGTGACAAGCTGGCATGGATTTGTGGAAAGTTACACAAATTCAGTTACACAAGTTTGCCTGGCCTTAACTATCCCCATTTTATAAATAGATAAAGAGAGAGGGGTTAGGCAATTTGCCCAGTATCAATTAGCAAGTCCTGAACGACTTCGTGAAAGCTCAATTTACTTCAACCACTTGGCAACATGGCCTGCCCGGGACGCGGCGGGCACGCCGAGCACCTCTTGGAGTATGCGTTCACCATCCCCGCTGGTTTTAGAACCCAAAGATACCGTGTTATTGACCCTACAACAGAAAAATCCCACGCATGGAGGTATGCGCACCTTTCGGCCTTCAGTAGACCCTCGCTTCTTCACATTCAATCCGAGAGGGGTGGGTGATAACATTATTTAATATCCCAGTGGATAAAATCGGGGAAAAAAAGATTTAGTCTGCACCCAGTCTCAGTAGGATGCCAGTATCGTGCCATGGTTGGAGCACAGTTTGTACCAAGCAAGTCTCGTGCACCCTGGGAGAGCTTCCCTCAACCTCTCCCATCCCTAAAAAGTCTATAAAGACTCTCACTTCATTTCACAATAATTTATAGGGTCCACACAGTTAAATAAACAGAAGAATATTAAGCCTTGCCTACTGTGAGAAGTCTCCGGGATTATGGCACCAATATTGTTGCAATGCAGTTTATGTTGAAAAAAAGTGTTTTTACCCGTGCAGCTCTTAGACTCCAGGGAGCCAGTAAAAGCCAGGGCAAAGAGGTTTTATGCTCTGATAGAAAAAAAAAAATACAATAATTACCATGGAGAGGCTGGAACACAAAAGAGCACAGCTATCTCAATTTACATTGCAACCACCGTCAGCACAGCCCAGAACAATGGTATCTGGGAAAAAGTCCTGCTCTCTCCAGAAGATAGATTAATTCAATGTGCAGGAAAACACTTCAAACTGAGAAAGCGGTACTCTCTGAATTGTAACAGGCTCCAAAAACTTGGTGCCAAGCCACAAGTCCAAGCCAGTACCCTCAGGGGGACGGGGGAAAAAAAAAGTTAAGGTAGAAGCAAACAGCCTCAGTTTAGGTCTCACTGGTCAGCTGGATCTGTTAAAGGCAATTTTACGCCTTGGTTCACTGGATGCACATTTTGAAAGCAAAAGGAGCTACATAGTTAAAAATCCCAAGTCCCAGGACTTGGGTAGGAGTTTGAAGCTGGGTGTTTGTGCAGGCCATTAGAGGAATTTTTAGAATTCCTACTTCCAGCAAATGCCCCCGAGTTCACAGATTTCTCCTCCGTCGCTTTACCTGCGCCCACCTCAGCTCCCAGCGCTCCCACAGCGGCTTTCACTTCTGATGCACAGCCACCAATTCAGTGTTACAAACAGAACCTGAGAAACGGCGGACACACCTTCACATCAAGTTGCTTTTTCTCTTCAGCCTTAATAGAATTGTACAGCCCAAATTAACCAACGAGGCTGCCATTTTTACTGGTTAGAACTGTATAATCCTGCAGCAAAATTACTGCCATGATTGCTATACAGTGAAAGTTTCCCAAGTAATTAAATTCACTGACATGTTGCGGAGGTATAGCCTGGCAGTGGGGTTTCTTCCACCAGAGGGTCCAGCATTTTTTTCTAAACCTTGAAAGAAGCTTTTTTCCCCTCAAAGGATTTCCAGTTTGAGATTTACATTCCTTATATGTAAGATTTACATTTCTCCTGGGACAAGAAACATGAATTGTGTCAAGCAGTTGGAAACACATAGGAACACGGGGTTGCAAAGGCCAAACATTGAATAAGACCTTCTCAGCTACTGTTCACAGGCAGTTTTGATAGAGGGATGGCAAGAGGGAAAGGAGTCATTATAAAAGAATTGAAGTCATTCTTTCCTGCTACATTATTTGCATTTTTCATGTACACCAAACTAGCTCCTTCAAGGGAGGTGCCCCACTCACTCTAATCCTCAGGCTTCATTCCACAGCCAATCAATCTTTTTTTTTTTCCCTCCTCGTAGTGTAAATTTCCAGTGAAACAAACACATTTGTTTCATGGGAACACAGTGATGTCATCCAGCTGATAACTGAAGCACTCTAATGATCAACAGAATTATTCATAATATGCATTAATATTACTGTCAAAGGCAAGCGCTTTGATCTTGCTGAAACAAAACTCACTTCACTGGGATTGGTTTGCTCCCAGGATTTTTTTCCTCCTCAAAAAATTCACGAGAAATTTTGCTATTTCATCCTGGGTCAGGAGGAAAGGAAGCTTAAGTGTCAGAAATTCCCACAGAAACAAAATCTCATGCTATGACCAGGTCAAGCTCTTCTCCAGTATTCAGTCATTCATTTATTTTTGTTTCTTTCAAGTCTTTAGCTGCCTTCGCAGAAACAAAAGTGCTTCCTGCCACTCTGGTGAACTTGCTGACCTTGGTTGAGTTTAGCCGCTCCACTGTGTCTCATGAAAGGTTACAGGGTTAGTCCTTTTGCAGGTTCAAAGAAAGAATTTGTGAAGTGGAAACTCTCGCAATATCTTGCAATGTTGCTTTCGCAGGATATGCGGAGAGATGGATTTCATCATATAAATGTTGCACACACAAACCACTCGTAGACAGTTCAGTCCAGGGGAACACGTACAAATGACAGACAAAATAAATCCTCTGAAATTCATGCAAATGAGACTAGGCAACCTTAAACCTACTTATCAACTAAAAATTATTCAGCAGAAAAAAAAATGAGCAAGTACCTATCATCAGTGAGCCTTAATAAAAAAAGCCAAGCCCTGGCACCCTTGTAGAAGAGAAACACAAACTGCTTTCTGCTAGGCTGGCAGAAACACTTGGAATAACAGGGCATTGCTCTAATGCAACAGCTATTTGCAGCCTCTCCCAGAACATAATCTACAGCTTTGTACTATTACAAATCCAAAATGTTAGATCTTGGCCCCATTATGGAAAAAACTGTAGAAATTCACTGTATAAAGTTTGCTCCTTTGAGCATTTTAGAAGCCGCTCCCTACCTTCCATCAGCTGCCACATGGGATGAATTATTTACACCTCACTAGAAATGTAACAGCAGGCATTAAGAGCACTGGATGATTTAAAAGGGAAGACAAAGAAACTTCACGTTTTGAACAGAAGTCCTGTATTTTAGGTGTTATGTCCTATAAAAGGGCTTATTGAATTCTACGGAGAAAAAAGAGCTACCTAGAAAAAACCGTGCACTGCAATGAGTTCTGGCTTCTGGTGGAAAATCTACACCTTTCATTCCAAGATGCAAATCCAGGAATAGATGTACCAAAGGAGTCTGTACCTCTCAGCACTACACAATGCAACACGCACTTCTGCCGGACGCACAGCTGCAAAAGCCCTGTCCCTTAACCCCCAGCACACTGGCTGGACCATCTGCTGTACCTCCACCAGCAGGACAGGGCACAAGAGACCTTATCACAAACAGATACAGCTCTTTCCAATTAAATATGAGACTGAAAAAGTTAAACATGTACAAGGATGTTTGCTAAGATGGCAGGACCAAATGTGAGCTCTGGCCTCGAGCTAGAGCTGGCACAAGGATTGGAAAAGCACCACAAGATTCATGGGAAGAGCACAGTCCTGAAGAGCAGGACAGTCGGAGAGGAATCATACTCAGGAGAGGACCTCAGCACACTGCAAAGAGGAAAAACAAGTCTCACAGGTTCTAAATGTAGCCTCCAAAAATCTTGTCTTACTTAGTAGTCAATAATAATAATGATAACAAAATAATTCTTGATTTCTGGAAAGAATGTAGGAACGTGTATGAAATAAAAGACCGGAAGAGTAGTACTGGGAAAAACAAAAAAACACAAAACCACACCACCCTCTTCCACAGGCATAGGATCCATCCACACCAAGAACTGTTTCTAACATACCTGTATTGATGCAGCTCGTGACAGCAGTGACCATGACAGTCATCTCCTCCAGGCACATCTGTATTAGCTAATGTTTTTACAGTCTTCCCCACCCTGTCCCTCAGCTTGCACAACTGGTTCCGAGACTTCCAGTTCACCCCAGTTTGGGCTGGGTTAGGGCAGTCAAACAGGCACTCTGCCACTCGGTTCAACTGAAGCGGACTAGGGAGCACCCCTGGGAGCCATTTATCTGCCAAGAGCGGCAGGTCTTTGGTTAAGGCAAAGTTGCAAGTGACTTACCAATTTCCTTCTGAGGAATCTATCCACTGTTCACCACGGTCCTTTTGAAAACTACCTTACACATCGATGCTAAATCAGCAAGGTCTGTGCAGTTCACTTCCCAGCCTTATGAATTTGCTGTTTTAAAAATCTGTCTAGCTTATGCCAAGAATTTTATCTAATCTATTGACTCCGAGGACTTTAACAGTGAAAGGATTTATTCATGCTGATTGTCATTATTCCCAAGAATGGTATTTTAAAATAACAAGATGTAATAAACTCTGGGATGTTGTTTTTTTTTGTTTTGGTTTGTGGTTTGGTTTTTGTTGGGTTTTTTGGTGGTATTGATTTTGTTTTGCTTGTTTAAGAACTGTGGGGCTTCTTAAAGCTAACATTTTTATGTAGGTTTCTTCTTGCCCATTAAAACATCTCTTTGGAAACACAGTTACTGAAGTTTATTCAAAGATACCAGGAAAGTTACCTGCAATTTGCACTGAGCCATCTTCTCCAAGAAGAATATTTCCTGCTTTCACATCCCTGCAGAAAGATAAAGCAACAATAAGTAGAACTCATTAAATCTTTCCTTCAACCAACAAGAACAGATTAAAAGGTTATTATTTCTTATATTTTGTTTCTTGCATTAGCACTTCCTGCTTCCAATCATGCAGAAACAGTAGGGACTTAACACCAATTGTAACTTCAGTAGACAGACACTAACTGGTAGTTGTATGATTATCACTAGTAGTGTTTTAAGTACTATGCACAGGAAAAAAAAAAATGAAAAACTTATCAGAAGATACCCTCAAAAAGTCAACAAATACACAAGGACATCCAGTATGTGCTATGAAAGATATTGTACTATCCCCTTTCCACCCCAAAAAAACCTCCGGATTTTTTAGTTTAACAGCATCCTCATCCTCGAGGAACGCTACTTTCACTCCAAATACGCTTTAAAGTTTTACAGCTTATTTTCACAGGCTGCTCCCCACACAAAGCCAAGAGAAGCACCTTTATAGTTGACAGCCACGTTCATCAGCATGGCTGCTAAGCTTGCACCGGCTAGGAAACATGTAGACCCAGAGCACATACAGGTGCTCTCTCAAGGAACGCTGCAAGCAAAGCAACTGCCTGGAGAATGGATGCCAGTGAATAGACAGCAACTCATAACACACCTCACCTTACTGCCAACCACCTGTACGGAAGAGAAAAGTTAAAAAAAAAAAGGAAAAAACCCACCACCAAGACAAGCAGATTCTCCCTCCACTGTCTTCTGCAACTATTCCAAATCCTTTCACACACAAAAAAAGTCAAAAGCTATTTTTTCTCTCCTCCCTTATGCATCTTGAGAACAGAACTGGCGTGATGGCCGGGCCGAAAAGCCCCAGTCAGGCCCTGGAAATCTCCTCCTTCCTGGCTTTGCTCCTCTGAAGAAGGGCCTGGGCCACAGCCAGTTCCAGGCCAGGATAATGTTAAACACATCCTCTCCAGCGTTAACATTTGCTAGATTCTTCCCAATATCCAGCCTAGGACATTGGCATGGCAAGGCTCGCACCTGGCATACAGCAGAACAAATGTGAACCAAGACTGTCCATACGACAGTCCCACTAAAGACTAGTTTAAGAGCAAACCACGGCTGACAGCAGCCTTCAGCCTTCAAACAAGTACTTCAGTTCCTGCCAAATGTACACCTCTTGCTAGCAGTGGCCATCTTGGAGCCTAATCCCCACCTGAAGCACTAATATAAGAGCAAATACAGGAAAATACCAATTTGCTTTAATAATCAAGAACACTTGGATAGATCTACAGAGAAACACTGACGCCGTATGGCGAGATAGCCTTGAGAAGCTGACTTCGTAGGAGGATGCGATTCAAAGCAAGCTGTGACAGCGATGCTGGAATAAGTAGACAAACACAAAACAACCGCTGCCAGTCAGCTCCAGTCCTGCTCATTTTACATCAGCCAGATACGCGAACGCGCGTCTAGGGGCGAGTCAGCTTTCCCTCCAAGAAGCATTATTCTGTTTTCTTCCTGCAATTAGCAGCTGCAGCCGTTGCAGACAAGAAAGCATCAGCACTGCAGTGGACAGAGACTCTTAAGTAGACGAAGGAACCTGAAGGGATTAAATACAACCTTAACTGTGTAGCTACAATATCCCCCTTAGCATCCATTGGCCAAATCCAATACAATCGGAGCTGTAGAGAATTAATCGCCATGAGATACAAAGCTGACTAACTAACCCCTGCGCTCCCAAAAGCATTCATGATCCATAACAGTGAGGGAATGGAAGAGCTCCCTGCCAATATTTAGGTAGCAGGCGGCTTTCGGATCCAACCTCATGAGCACGTGGAGCCATGAGAACGCAGCGCCCAAGTCTGCTGCTTCCTAGGTAAGGACCTGGCTCACTTGGCGCTTGGCACAGGCACAGCCATCTCCAGGAACTCCCCCGCGCACCAGCAATTCAGAGGGATCTGAGGGTGTTCAGGAAACCTCCAATCCTGCTGGAAATGTTTATCCAGTCAGTCAGTTCTCCTGCGACAGCCAGGACACGAGGCCCTTTCAAAGCTGCCTGCCTGCCCCAGGTTAAGCGGAAAGGAATAGCATGCACCGAGGTCGCCTATCAAAGTTATTGTTCCTCTTACTGAAGGTGGACACAAGCAATTTCTCTTCCATCTGCACTCCAAGGCAGCCCAGGATGCTGGAGCATTTCCCCAGTAAGCTGGGCCGTGCGGTATTGTACAGACTTTCCAAACTTCCCTGCCGGCACGACGGTGTGGGCAGCTCACCGAGCCCCCGCAGCAGACCGCACTCAGCAATGAAGGAAGTGCCAGAGCGTTTTTTAAGCAGAGCTAAGGATGAAGTCTCAACCATCGTGCACTTGAGAGTCCAGAAAAACTCCGGCGGGTTTCACTGACGTAGCAACAGCAGCCAGAAAGCAGCACGCATTCAATACCACCAGACCATCCTACCGTAACACAGCGGGCTGGACGGGCTTGGAGTTCAAAAAGTAGTGAAACAAGCACTCAGATTGAGTCCCATGGGAAAAAAGAGCCAAAGGACTCCAATCCCTTAACCCCCTCCAATGCAGAGGCTTGTTTTCTTCTTAGCTTCAGCTTGCATTAATTAAAATTTGTCTTCTTGGAAATAGAAGTCAGTAAATATGGCTCTTCAAGCTGGTTCAAGAAATTAAAACAAGTCGTTGCTACAATAAGAAGTCCAGGAGGCCAACAAAAGCCACTGCCAAATATCCAAGTCAAGCTGCAGATTTAAATCACCACTTGATGTGGCATTTCCTCCCAGTGACCAACCCTCTGAAAAGGCCATTACTCACGCCAGCGTGGTACACCCCACCCCAGAGCAGCAAAACGCATCGGCAGCAAGCTGTCTGGGGACACCGACTCCATTTCGGAGTTACCGTACCATAGAGGCAACTTCCAGCTTTCCCATTCCTCACTCCAGTGTATTGGCATCGCGTCGCCCGCTGCGGCCGCACCGGGTGAACATCGAGCAGCAATAACACTGCGTGAACACAGATCCCCTTTAGCGGGTGCTGGTGTCACCAGCAGTATCTTCAAACTGGGTCCTCCTTTAAAACCATCATTAAGATTAATTAATTAATTGCATTTAAAGCAATGGGGCAGGGGAGAGGAACGGTGCTTTCCCGTTTATTCTCGTCAGGAGATGCTTATAAACTCGCAAGTTGAATGGCGAGAAGTTTGTTACTTCAGGATATAGTTATTGCCAAGCATAACAATTTGAAGGTACTTCCTATTAATGTGGTAATGACCATATCCTGGGCTGATACACTTGGAATAAATGGTGTGCCTCTGGCATAATTACTATACTGGAAACAGGAAGCAGCTTTAGGCTGTAGCGTAAACAGTAATTATATCACATTTTAAATGAAGTTACAGAAGGCTGGAGTAAACTCTTTCTTGACAATAGCTTAACAAATGCTACCATAGTTCTGGACATTCCCGCTCTGTAGCAGTCACCTTCCTCTCTTCTAAAGCCTCCCAGAGCCCTTCCACAAAATAACAATTATGTTTTTATTTACCTTGTACTTCACAACCAGAATGGGAAGAGGGGTTTGGACTCGCTCCAGTGCAAACTTGGATTCTCCACATCAGCCATGGAAGATTTCACAGCAGGGCAGAAATTCCTCCTCATATGCTTTCCAAACTGGTTTAGCTTCCCAGTGCGACCAAACACTAACGTACCAGTTAAATCACAGTAATGCCTCCAGGTTAGGGCTGGGCCACAGGCATTAGATGCTATATAATCAAAACCGATCCCCGATCCAACAAAATTACAATCAAGCATCCAGCTACAGAGGGCTTGGGAGTACAGGAAGGCAATGAGATGATGCCCCCCAATTTCAAGTGCAGTGTTCCCACACTCCCCACAATTAATTTTTCAATGAGGCAGGGGGGGAACTACAGAACTGTATCCTAATGGCTTGTTCCCACTATAAAAAGCCTAGGTGAGTCCTTTAAGATCCTGCTAAGTGATCAGATCTGCCCTCACCTATAGCCCTCAATCCTTGGCACTGCCATAGAGTGGTGGTTGTTGCAGTGACAACACTAAGGGAAAAAGCAAGAGTTGCTGGTCCGTAACGGAGAGCAGCATTATCAGTAACCAGCTGCAACTCAGCAATCCTGGCACAGGCAATAAAATTTCATATTATAGACTTAAAAGAACCGGTGACTGCAAGAAAAGCAATGAAGCTCATTAATTTACTGCTTTTTAAACAAGCCTCTTCATATTGTTTGGAAATCAAAAAGGATTCACTTGGCTTGTGTTCAAACGTCTACATTGGGAGCAATAGCTAGGACAATTTAAGGCCACTGCAACGGCAATACAACTGAGCAAAGAGTGGCATCCCAGGACTTCTGTAGCCGAGCACTGAGAAGAAAACCATCACATGAAGGAGGAAATGGAGATAAGCCCTGTTTATTCTGCCTTTGCTTCCAACCTGCTCCTATATGCCTTTAGGATGCAATGCTGGCTGTCAGCACAGGCATGAGTCATCTGCCCATTAGATGCAATTTACATCAACTGTAACAATAAAATTTTCATGGACTGAACTCTATAGTGCATAATTTGGCATGAGGAAGGAGTGGTTAGTCCTGCCAAGTTTCATTTAAAAACAAGAGAAGGTGCAAGATACAAGATTTACTATTTTCTGTTAATGGTAATGAATAACTCAAAATATTTATACTGAATGCAACCAATTACTGGCACTGACATTATTGTGAGTAATTTGCAAAATACTTCCAGGACAATACCTCTATGTACACTTAAATATGAAGCAATTTGTGCCATTATACACCAAGTGAGCACTATGCTCTCTACTATCAAACATTACTCTTCCTTCAATGATACGCTGTTACCTATGTCACCCCTTCCCTTCGCCTTATAAGCCAAGATATAAAAAGCTGGCTATATGCAAGAGCTTTACCATTTGAGACAGAACTGCAAACCAGAAACTAGGCTTGGAGCATGCAAGCAGAGTAATATTTTTATGCTCTCAAACATC